CCACCCGACCCTCCCCTGCCCACCCGCCCTCCCCTGCCCACCCCGCCCCTCCCCTCGCCCACCCCGCCCCTCCCCCTCGCCCCCGCCCCCTCCTCCTGCCCACCCCGCCCCTCCCCCTACAGTCCTGCAGTCGCTGTCCCACCTTCTCCTTGCTACCGATCACCTCCTTCTGTTCTCCCCCAACCCTCCCCTCCCCCGGTGCCCAACAACCCCCACCCCCCCGACCGGCAACCCCCTCCCCCCAAGAGAGAGAGAGAGAGAGATAGGCAGGGTAGAGAAAGATTACCTTGGTTGCGCTGCTGCTGCTGCACGCCATAGTCGCGGTGCAGAGGACTGGTACTGACCGGCAGGGGGCTCGGTTCGTTGCGCGCTAAGCTATGGTTCATCTGTCCCCCGGCGGCCGCCTGTGCCGCTGCCGCCGCCACGTAGTCGGCGTAGTAAGCGGAGGCGGCGGCGGCGGCAGCACGGTCGCCATGCGTTGGCGTCGCTACGTAGCCCGCGTAACCGGGGAAGCCCGCCAGAGGCGATCCAAAATGCAGTCCTTCGGCGGCTGTTCGGCGCGTCGGCGCGTCGAGGAGGCGGAGAGCGGGAGAGCGAGGCACCGGCCACAGCGCGGGGGCACACAGTGCACGTGGCGCCATCGGGCGGCGAGCGGCGGCGGCGGCAAATCGTGGACCGAAGGAGAAAATTAAACAGCAAAAATTGAGGGGCGACGACGGCGGGCAGCGGATCGCGAGAGCGGGCCGCCAGAGGGAGCTCATGCAGGCGCGGCGGCTGCGCGAGACACGTGTCCATGACGTCATCATCAGCGTCTGTCGCGCGCGCGTACCTGCGCGCGCGTGTCTGAGTGCGTGCGTGCGTTCGTTCTCGTGTTCGCGTAACGATGTCGACACGCAACTGCAACATCGCTTCGGACGTTCTTTTCAACGTTGGCGCCGCGTCGGCGGAGATTCGGCCGGTCAGTCGTGAGCGTCCGGTCAGTGTTGGTCGGTCAGATGTCGCGTCGTCCCGCCGCTGGCCGCAGCCTGCATGAGCCCGCCCCGCCGGACACACACGGAGCTGGGCTTGTCGACTTTCCGTTGCCACGCTGCTCTTCTCCCGAATTTTTGTTTCTTTTCGATGAGCGGGAGTCCCGCCGGGAAAGGAAGGGAGGAAGGAGGCGTAGAGGAGGAGGGTGGGAGGAGGCGTAGGGGAGGAGGGTGGGAGGAGGCGTAGGGGAGGAAGGAGGGAGGAGGCGTATGGGAGGGAGGAGGGTGTGAGGAGGCGTAAGGGAGGAGGCGTAAGAGAGGAGGGTGGGAGGAGGGGCCAAATGTTCAAGCTTCCCCAGGGCCTGCTTCGACTCTTTGCAGTCGCGCTCGCCGACGGACTGTACGCCGTCTGGTGGGATTCCGGAGAACTAACGCCTATGAGTTTGACGCGTTTCAGGCGGATGGACAACTAGTGAGCAGCAGCAGTAGTAGCAGCAGCAGCAGCAGTAGTACGTACCTGATGCGCTACTACTACCTACCACGTCCGCCCAGTGATGAATGTAGCCGAGTTAATTTTGAATTCCGACATGTTGACAAGGTGCCAAACGCATGCATGCCAGCCACGCACGCACGCACGCACGCACGCACGCACGCGCACATACATATACACGAATATATAGTACACACGTGTAAATATATATATTGTAAATGTATATGAAGAGTGCGTTCTACCAAACAACACACCATGCAGATGCTGGTCTAGAAAGATTTGAGCACTACCACACCCCACCCCGTCCAGCTTTCTCTTCTCACTCACACACTCACACACTCACACACTCACTCACTCACTCACTCACTCACTCACTCACTCACTCACTCACTCACTCACACACACACACACACACACACACACTCACTCACTCACTCACTCACTCACTCACTCACTCACTCACTCACTCACTCACTCACTCACTCACTCACTCACTCACTCTCCCTCACTTACTCACTCACGCACGCACGCACTCACGCACTCAATCATTCACGCACGCACGCACGCATACACGCACGCACGCACTCACTCACTCACGCACTCACGCACTCAATCATTCACGCACGCACGCACGCATACACGCACGCACGCACTCACGCACGCACGCACTCACGCACTCAATCATTC